AATATTTTTGTTTTGCACTTGTGCCGAAGCTATTTTTGTGCAACATCTAAGAATATCAAAAATCTCCTTCACGTGATCAAACTGTCATGTGACGTCACAAAAATGCTTTATTTTAATACCTGATTAAACTATTATGTCAAGTTGACTTCAATTTCAAACAAGGATTACATACTGAAATTAAAATCTAGCTCAAGATAGAATGTTTAATTTTAAGGCATTTTAAGCCTTCGGACAGCCTTATCATAATTGCGAAACCAAACATTTTTAACTTCCTAATTAAATCGTCCATGTCTATTATGTTAGCACAGTACTTGTATTACATAAACGCTTTATGCAAATAAATTGTCACGAACAGAATATACCCATTCTTGTTAAGATTTTCAGATATCTCTGTATATTTGTTCTTACACTGTTCAGATAAAGGACCTAGTTAAAACAAGATACCCATGGGTTACAACACTCACCTTAGTAAATTTGACCAGAATGTAATACATTGTGTGGCCCAACCCTATGTCCGGGGGTCATGATGTAATATAAATAGAATCTAAGTTACTCTGGAATTCATCCAAATAAGTTATATGGTCCAGTATTTCTGGAAAATATTTTTTCGTACATATTTCAATGTAAAACTTGGATTCCCTATTTTGCCCCCTTCCCCTTTTACCCCTGAGGATGTCATGCTTTGAACAATTTAGAATGTTCAATATCCCAGTATACCTCCACATAAGTCTCAACTTTTTTTACCCAGTGGTTCTTGAGAAGATTCCTATATACTCGTATATCAATGTAAAAATTGGATTTTCTATTGTGCCCCCCCCCCCCCCCCCCGCTCTTCTCCGAGGGCCAGGATTTGAACAATTTAGAATGAACACTATCCCAGAATGCTTCCACATCTTTTTAAGCTTTCTTGGACAAGGGATACTTTTGAAGAAGATTTTTCGTTTGTGTCCAATACATAACAATATGAAACTTGGAATTCCTATTGTGGTTCTATCTTACCCCAGGTGTTGATGGTTTGAACAATTTAGAATCTGGACTACACCAGAATGCTTTCACATAAGGTTCAATTTTTATGCGCTGTTAATCTTGAGTAAACTCTGCACTACCAGGATGCTTCCACAAAAGTTTCAGTGTTTTGGCCTAGTGGTTCTAGGGAAGACGATTTTTAATAACCCCTAAATGTACGCTGGGTGATCAGAAAAACTCAGTTGAGCTTTCAGCTCAGGTGAGCTGAAAAAGAACTTTAATTTTTTTTAAAGTAAAAAACTGAAACCGAAAGCCCTTCAAACTTTGTTTTCAGATTTTAGGCTAATGTTAGTTGTAGTGTAATACGAATCCTTTATATGTCCGTATATTGATCGATTCTCTTTCCTTTTTTTAATGAAATCGCAGATGATCTTATCTTTTGCATACATTATGTAAGTTTGGTTCAAAATTTTATTACACTTATTTTCATTACTTTATTACAGTGAAGTACTAATATTTATTTGAATAAACGTAATATTTTGTCACAGAGTGAAAGGACGTCAAACTCACATTCACAGGGTGAGAGTTCCATGAAGTCAAAAGTATGGCAAAAATTTTGATTTTCGTCCTTTATAAAATAAGGGGTTGTAAAAGAATATTTTATTGTCTCTGTTAGATTAAAAATACTAAGCTAACCATCATGACAGAGACTAAATCTGCAAAATTAAAAATTCTGGAAATGCATATTTTTTTTATTATTATACAAAGTTTTCAATTTCAAAATCGCTATAACACAATTAGCCAATGTGTTTGGATGAAGAAGACTTTTTTAAGTTCATAGTTTTATTATAAAGTCACAGCAAAGGTAGCAAACAATGGTACATGAAAAGTTCAATTACAAAGTTCTCGGAGCCAAGATGGTGAAAGCTCACATAGTCATTGTGTCACATATATCTTGGAGCTATGTTCGTAAAAGCTCTCATGGTCCGTCTCGGAGCTAAGATGTTAAAAGCTCTTTTAGTCCGTCTCGGAGCTAGGATGGTAAAAGCTATTGATACTCAGTGCGCGCATCTTTTGTACTAGAAGCTGCATCATAGGGTTTACATATTTGGTAATAGCAAATAGTTAGTTAGAGTGTCACTTCATTAATATTAATATTGTCCGCCCCTCACTGAAGCTCTGTCTCCCATTTCCTTATAGGAAACGGCAATGTCCTCTGTTTACATTAACATTATGCATCTTGCACATTCTTCAGTTAATTAGATGGCTGCAGCTCTGCACAAAGGGTGATTGGAAGTGTCAATGCTCGAGAACAACACATCGTAAAAACTAATTGTCCGTTAAATGAAGACGCTCTGTTATTGCATTCTATCTCCCAGAGTTTGTAAACAAGTTAGTAATTAAGATATTATTGTCCGTCGCGCTACACACTGAGAGTATCAATTATAATTCATAACACAATATTAAAACATAGATAATTGTACTGTACAAATTAATATATCAATTAAACTTATAATTTATACGGTCATTGTGTTACATCGCTTAGCTAAGAAAACGTAGCAGCTAATCGTTGTTATTTCAGCCTGCCAACAGCGCTATATTGAGGAAAAATATAGGGCAAAAAAAATTAACATTTAATAAACAGAAATTTAAAAGATTTGAAGCTGAATATGCATTTTATTTCGCACGGTGGATCTTGTTTGCTCTATTTTCAAAAGCAGTCTCTTAAAATACATTGTACATGTATATAAGTATTAATTAAATTTTATTCTGATAGCAAAAAACAATTATGATTTTGTTGTGTACTCAAATATCAAATCCATGTTTTATTCCTTTCTTACATGAATACATGTAAATCTAAAATGAGCGTGAATCAGTGTTTTTCTAAGGGAGTTCTTCCTCAATTTAAAGAAAATTAGTGTCAGAATTAATTGCTAGAGAATTAATTGAAGAAAAAAAAAAATTTTAAGATAATAATGATACTCCAATTATTATTTATTTGAAAAGAACCAAGTATAATAGGAACTATATGCCATTTAAAACTGTACAGCATCGGGTTTGAAAACACACCCACGTTTTCAATAGACGAAATTCACATTCCTAAGAGTTATCTCCCATTGTCGGCGTAACGCTCATTTTTCCCACTTTGTCCTTTCTAATTTACCTGTTAATATTTTTAATCTTCAAAAGTTATCGGACAATTTCGATCTGCACCTGTATTGCCAGAATATGGGGCAACATGAAAAATGTAATGAACATTTTCATAAAGATTTAGATACTGACCCATAAAGTTGATAAGGTTATAGAGGGAAAACAGTGTCTTATGCCGGTTGACCCCAGATTGGCCCCGCAGAGAGGAATAACTTTTGTAAATGTGAAAGTCGTCTATGGTAAACAGTAAAAAAATAATTTTAAAAAGTAAGAAAACTTTTAATACACAGTTGTAGTTTAACAAGTAAAATCATGAATTTTTATTTAAACGAAAAATAACTAGGACATGTTTAAAATGATTCTAAAAGATAAGAAAATTATCACAGGGAACATCTAAAACAGTTTACGAGAAAAAGTTTACACAAGAAAGAAAAAGAATAATAAATATTTTTTACGCAGGAAACATTGATTATGAACAAATAGCTCGTGATTTGCTACAACACATTACTAGGAAGTAAAAAAAAAAAACAAAAAAAACAAGGAAACATTTTAAATAAGTTGAAATAAATTCATACTGAGTTTAAAACAAAGTCTAAGGAACACCTCAAATTTAAGCGTTTTCTGTACATTTTATGCATTTGTTTGTAAGGTCGAAATTATTTTTTTCTCGAAAAACCTTCAAACTTTTAATGCTTCTACATGTGCTATAATTTACGGGATGATGATATAAAAAACATTCTGCAAAGATTATTTTTTTTAGGAAAATATAGTCTTTTTAATTTTAAAAGGAACCAGATTACACATGTCGATAGGGGGCCAGCATTACACTCAAAATAATTTTTCCACATGTAACAGGTAAACTTCGAAGAATTTAAATGGTCTATGAGAATTTCATTCAACTAAAATGGAAGGTGAAGTTACTTCAACAAAATAATTCATTTTCATAAATGAAATCCATTGATTTATTTTCAAACGAAAGAAAATTTAAAAGAACTCTGTTTGAAAATATCCGAACTTTAGTGTGTAAAAAAAAAAGCCAAATAATTCATCGCATAACGCACAAAATCATCCATAACTAAGCAGGCAAATACATTATTAGTTCTATATATTAAACAAATGAAGTAATCAAGGTTTATAAATGAAATTAAAATATATCTTAACAATTGTTATGGAACACGTCAGTCAAAATGAATCCTATCAGAACATTATTGAATTTACAAAAATGGACACAAGCCATTCTAAAGATTTTACGAATTAATATTCTACAAAGCCCAGTAACATCAATTCAAATGTCGTTAACCTTTTCGGTTCAATCATTGATAATTCTTAGATGTTCTTGCCTGAAGTTAGAGGCATACATAGCATAGGCATATGAGAAAAAAAAATTAGGTTTATGGTAGGGACTTATGACAATGGAAATATAAATTTGATAAATATCATTCGATTTGTAAGTCTCACTTAAGCTGTAGTTAATCAATGCAATTTATTAATAAGATTAAGGAAGTTCATTACTTCTTGACTAGTGCACCATATTGAATGATTCTCTCATGATACATTTTAATCTCCCTTCTCTCTCTCTCTCTCTCTTCCTCTCTCTCTCTCTCATGCTCTAAAAAATACCACATGAGACTAGTTCGTTTTCAGGAGATCTCTTATTTAATTGATGAAATCTTTTTATTTAAAAAACAAGAATAAGAAAAAGATGCAAACTAGTGCAAAACATTTTATTTTCAAATCACCATATTGCATGATTCTCTCATGATACATTTCAATCTCTCTCTCTCTCTCTCTCTCTCTCTCTCTCTCTCATGCTTTAAAAAATCCCACATGAGACGAGTTCGTTTTCATGACTTCCTACATTATATCGATGGCATTTTTTATCAAAAACATGGATAAAGAAAAAAATTCAAACTATTACGAAACATTTTATTTTCAAATCACAATAATGCATGATGAAGTAAATTATATAACTGTTTATGAATTGTGTCACAAAACTTTATAATAAGCTTTTTATGTTTGCAATAATCTTTTCCTTTTACATTCTCTGAAAACAAAACACAAGGCAAGAAATATGATCTGAAAAGCAATGGCTGCATATAGACCTATTGAAAAATTATCCACGGAACCCGAAATTACATTTGATGATACAGTAAGAGAAATAGAAGTGGCGTAAAACAACACAAAGTAAAGTATATATACAACTTTTCTAGACGAAATATGACAAAATGACCAAGAATGGCAGAAAAATATATTTGCAACAACACCAACTAATAGACTTGATACAAAACTAGCTTTCTTTGTACAGTTTTCATAGAAAATGTGTTTTTGTTTTAGTTTTCGAAAACAAAGTATGGTTAAGACAATAAACATAAGAAGATGACCTATAAAAACATACAAGGCTGGATTCCATCCAACAACAGATGCAAATGTGCCAAACATGACGATTCGAATAAAAATTTCAATACCTCTCTCAAACAACAGAGCAAGTAAATAAGCAATATTGCGCCAAATAGATACACATGTATTTTTGTGCGATTGAGTAAGAGTTCTTTTGGAATGTTCCAGTCTTCGGTCTTCGTCTTTATTCAGGTACTTCGTGGCAAAAAATACACTTATTAGGGAGGACACGAAATTAATGACTAAAGAGATATCTCGTGTGTTGTACAAATCTGTAAAAGAAAAAATGAAATTCTGTAAATTGTAAACCAGATACATGTAATCGCATTATTAAAAAGTTATGGAGAATGATTCATGTACATTGTGTTTGATTTGAGATTTTCGTTTACATATTATCTCGAAAAATTTATAATATCAGAAAGAGCAACACCCGAATATGTTCAGAGAGAAAAAAAGTGTTTAATCTTTAGTTAATCTTGGGTTTTTGCCAGCTTTTACAATTATATTTATCCTAATGGGACAATTTATCAATTTTATTAACATATACATGTACTTACCTATGTTCAGATCGTTATTTTCGTATTTAATAAAATACAATATAATCGTCTGTGGAATTCCCCCAAGAGCAGCATCAATCAGCCAGATAAACGTTAAAGCTTGTAAATACCATCTAGTTTTCCAGCGTTTCCAACCCATTCGAATTGTCCAGCATAATCTGGAAGCAATACATCTTTTAGAAAGGAAGGTAAAGAAGGGAAAATACAAAGTGAAATATCTCAGTTTTGGAATCTTTTAATACAACTAGTTCAATCTTGGTTCATATAGCTTTGAAATCGTTAAAAAAAACTTTAAAAAAAAAGAAGATATTTTTGGTCAAATATATTCAATACATTCTTTCTTCAATATTCAGTGAAATGAATAGGTCAGCAAATATAGGTTATGATATTTTCATTTTTTAACATGCCCAGTTTAAATATAAATTTTGTTTTTTTTATAATTTATTTTTTTTGCTAGAAGGTAGGATCATAAAGATAAAAATAAGATTAAAAGAAAATACTCACATGCAGCTTTTCAGAAATGGAAAACAAGCAAGCAATACAAGCGCTAATCGCCGGCGTTTGTTTGATGAATCGACGTGATAAAACAGAGGATAAAGCACCAAGAAATAGGACAAAAATTTCGGAATGATTGTTAAAGCCAAATATATAGGAGCGATTTCTCTCTTCTCAATCTCAAAAAAATAGTAAACAATGAACAAATCTTGGAAGAAATCAAACATATATACGAAAATGCGAAATGTTGTTGCAATCACAAATACATTTCCCAATGTTATTGCAAATTGATTTGGATATATGTGTTTCCAATTCTTTTTCACCAGAAGTGTAGTCATTTTGTTCAGTCGACACTTTTACGGCATGCAGATTCCTATTTGATTTATTTTCTAATATGTTAATGTCGAATTCAAGAAGAGATTTCAGCTTTTCCTTAAGGACGGCACAAAACAGAAGGAAAAGGACGAAGAAGAATGCAAATAATCCAAGAGCAACCTCGAAACACGTGATCTGTTCCTGTGAAAACCCGAGGCTTTTCGTAGGGAAAACTGAAAGAATTATGAAACAGATAATCTAAAAGGTTGTACATTTCCTTCAAAAATGTGAAGTTCATATATAGGAAATAAGTTTCAAAACTATATATCGTACAAAAAAAAAATAATTTACTCACCTGAGCTGTTCATTTCGAGCGTTTTTACGTTATGAAGTTGAGGCACTGGTAAATAATTTCTAAAACAACGCACCGCTTAATCGAAGATAACAGCTATAATGACGAAGGAAGGTTGAGAGTCAAATTAAAAGATAGAAATCGTCAAATTGATTTGAATCTGTTTTTTTTAATAGTAACAGCTTTCGATGTCTAAATTCCTTTGTTAAGGAAAAGAGAGCACACTAGAAAACACTAACGCGCACACTGAAGCCAAATATTTATTCCACAATTTTAGTATTCGATTTTAATTAATGATATTATATACTGGTTATATATATGGAAATTCCAAATGTAATAATAATTTGTTACCTCGTTCTATTTATATTTTTTAGGTCACCTGAGTAACTCAGGTGACCTATTGCTATCCGTTTTCGTCCGTCGTCGTGCGTCGTGCGTCGTGTGTCGTGCGTGGTGTGTTAACATTTGAACATTTTCAGCTTCTTCTCTGAAACCACTGAACCAATTTCAACCAAATTTGGCATACAGCATCTATGGGTAGAGGGGAACAAAAATTTCAAATTTCATTGTCCCCGCCCCCCTGGGGCCTGAGGGGTGGGGCAAAAACCACTAAAATTAATGAAATCTTTAAAAATCTTCTTCTTTACTCCTGGACATCAAGCAGGCAAACTATTGGCATGAATGTGATGAGCATTGAGTCCTCTACCAAAATTTTGAAATTCATGGCCCCAGGGTCAGGGGTTCTAGTGCTAGGGTGGGGCTCTATAGATTATAAAGTGAAAATGCATTATTTCTTTGAAAATCTTCTTCTCTGCTCCTGGGTATTAAATACACTAACTAAGCACATAGTTATGATGAGCAAGAGTGCCTCTTCCAAAATTGTGAATTTTATGGCCCCAGGGTCAGGGGTTCTGGTGTTAGGGCGGGGCTCTATAGATTATATAGTGAAAATGCATTATTTCTTTGAAAATCTTCTTCTCTGCTCCTGGGTATTAGATAAACTAACTAAGCTCATAGTTATGATGAGCAAGAGTGCCTCTTCCAGACTTGTAAATTTTATGGCCCCAGGGTCAGGGGTTCTGGTGTTAGGGCGGGGCTCTATAGATTATATAGTGAAAATGCATTATTTCTTTGAAAATCTTCTTCTCTGCTCCTGGGTATTAAATACACTAACTAAGCACATAGTTATGATGAGCAAGAGTGTCTCTTCCAAAATTGTGAATTTTATGGCCCCAGGGTCAGGGGTTCTGGTGTTAGGGCGGGGCTTTACAGATTATATAGTGAAAATGCATTATTTCTTTGAAAATCTTCTTCTCTGCTCCTGGGTATTAGATAAACTAACTAAGCACATAGTTATGATGAGCAAGAGTGCCTCTTCCAGATTTCTGAATTTTATGGCTCCAGGGTCAGGGGTTCTGGTGTTAGGGTGGGGCTCTATAGATAATATAGTGAAAATGCATTATTTCCTTGAAAAATCTTCTTCTCTGCTCCTGGGTATTAAATACACTAAATAAGCACATAGTTATGATGAGCAAGAGTGCCTCTTCCAGATTTGTGAATTTTATGGCCCCAGGGTCAGGGGTTCTGGTGTTAGGGCAGGGCTCTATTGATTATATAGTAAAAATACATTTATTCTTTGTAAATATTTTTCTTTGCTCCTGGGTTTTAAGCCAATGATTCAAGTATATATATATTTATGATGAAGAAAGTTGCATCTAGCAAAGTGGTTTTCAATGCCCCCAGGGTCAAAAGGGGTGGGGGGGGTGGTTACATAGCCTGAAAATAAATTAATGCTTTGAAATCTGCTCTTTGGTATTAATCAACCATTTTATGATAAAATTTGCAAAATTTTGAAATATATAGCCCTGGGTCAGTGGTTACTTTGGGGTGAGGTGCACGACTGGTTATAAAGTGGAAGTGCATTTTCTCTTTGTTACTCTGATCTGCCTCTGGGTATTAAGTAAATAGAGTAAGCATGCTAAGTTAATAATTATGATAAGCAATGATGCCTCTTTCAAAATTGTAAATTGTGAATTTCATGGCCTCCGGTTTAAACACGAACCAAATTTAATTGTTTGAAAGTTGTTGCACAATACTCAGGTGACCTATAAGGCCCGTGGGCCTCTTGTTTAAATACCCGCATACCTGTGTATTTAAGGAAAACGATATACATGTGTATACAAGTGTGTTTATCAACCAGTGGATTGCGATAAAAATAAATTGATTTTACAAAATTACCTATCTCAATGCTTGAAGGGCTGTTGAAAAAAAAGCGTAATATTTTTTTGTACAGAGAAGTATTGGTACATCTTTATACTGCTACGAGGAACACATAATACGCAAGTCCGTAGGTAGCGATTTCAGTTGGGAAGGGGGTGTCAAAACAAAACATTCTCATTTGGGGAAACTATTATCTACCGAAAATTCCTTGACATGCAAAAAAAAAAAAAAAAAAAAAGAAATGAGATTTTTTTTATTTATTCAGGAGGCTCAAGCATTTATTTAGAAACAAAATTAGAAAAAGTAACACAAAAATATTTATGTCATTGTCTCGTTACTGTAGGAACAGTCATGAGACAGGGATGTCAATATAGAACAGAGAAACTGATTTCTTGATCTATAAATAAATAGGAGAAATCTGCATTACATAATGAATAAAAAAAAAACTTATATAAGATTTATTTATAGATCAGATGAAGCGTCATTAATTTGACTCGATTTTCTTTTAATAATAATAAAACAATTATGTATATAATTTCCAGAATATTTTATATGGCTAGGTTATTTTTGATATTATTGGCAGTCATAAATAAATTTATTATAAATACTGCACCAACTAGATTATTATTTTGATAAGCATACAATTGACTCTAAAGGCTCTTAATTTTATCAGTGAGTTTAAGAGACGAAACCCTCAAACAACAAATAACCAAGCAATGGGGATTTAAAGGATACAGTTGTGTTTGTGTTGATTTTTTTTATTATTCATTGAGCCTTTTTACAATAAAGCATGAGCTTGAAAAAGAAAATACGGTATCACTCTGCACAACTACCTCTTTTTTGATTGCAATATATAAACTACGATTGCGTGTTATAATAGGGAGTCAGACATCACAAATTTCATTGTTTTATTCATATCTCTTGAAAAATATGAATATAAAAGGTCGTAAATGGGGAAAAATTGAGCCAGTTTACACAATCATCGTGATTTAAGGATGGCTTCATTGAAATACGTAACATATTTTTGCAAAAAAGCATTAAATCTTCGACTAAAAAAAAAAAAAAAACAGAACAAAAAAAGTAGTTATTTTTAAAGATGAGGAAAGGTAAAATATTTACAAATGATGTTCAAAAGAGTAAGGATTTGCATACAAAAAGAATGTTGTAATTTGATTTTAGAAGACAATAAGCTCGATCGATCCAAATTTAATGTAAACCATAAGTGCATTGAAAAAGCGTTAAAAAGATAGTCACAAGCAAGATTCAATGCCTATTTCAAAAATTCTAAGAATTATCCACATTTTTAAAATTTTGATATGATATTAAGACTTCT